CTCACAGCACTGTACTTCAGGATATATATTGAAATGTTCTTTTTGACAATTAATGTGACGCCGTTCCTCTTTGTCATTCCCGGCATAGTATATCATATGATTGTCTGATTCAAAGTGGCCAATATCAGTCCGTTTCAGCTCACTAATGCCTAGGATATCAATCTTTATGCGTTCCATTTCATTTTGACAACTTCCAATTTCCCAGATTCATGCTATGTGCATCCCACATTCCAATTGTTAATGGATGTTTGCAATGGTTTCTTCTCATTCTGAGTCGTGCCACATCAGCAAATGAAGGTCCTGAAAGCTTTTCTCCATCCACATCAGGAAGGCTGTCTCTACTCTGAGGAGGCAGCTCTTCCCCAGTCGTCTTCTGAGTGCCTTCCAACCTGAGGGGCTCATCTTCCAGCACTATATCAGACAATGTTCTGCTGCTATTCATAAGGTTGTCACTGGCCAATTTTTTTTTTTTTTTAAGAAATAGATTGCTGGATTCTTCTTCCTAGTCTGTCTTACTCTAGAAGCTTCACTGAAATCTGTCCACCATGGGTGACCCTGTCAGTATTTGAAATAACGGTGGCAAGGCTTCCAGTATCACAGCAACGGGCAAGCCACCACAGTATGACAAACTGACAGATCAGAGGTGGTAAGGGAATACAGTATTGTGAAAAAAACTGCAAAAGTGTACTAATAGTACGTAATTTTTTGTGTAAAAAATAAGAGGAAATTATATATATCTGCACACTAATGCCAAAAATTACAGAAAGGATACACCTAGGATAAAGGAAGGGATGCAATGAAATAGCGTGGAAAGGAAAGAAGGGGAGATAGCACTTATCTGAAGAGCCTATAAACCAAACTTTGTATCAAATAAATAACCTAGCCATACTTAAGGGTGGGGGAGAGAAGAACCAACCCAAGGAAATTCTGAACAACAATTTAGCCTCTATGCCCTCAGGCTAAAGACAAAAACTCTAAACAAATACTGAACTCAGTAGGCTTCTTGTTAACAGAAATATGGGCTAGTAATTCTGAAACCATTTCCTATATATTCTAAGATTGAAAAACATGCAAATATATTATGAACAATAAGGGCCAGGTTTCTCACGGTCAGAGAAGGGAGTTACTAATACCAATAGTTGTGGGAAATGAGAGAATAAACCCTGTGGTGTTGAACTAGAATTGGAAATATCAATATAAAGGTATCTTTTTTTGTTGCTGCAGATAGGTAGGTAGGTAGATAGATAAGTAGACAGGTAGATGGCAAGATAGAAACATAGGTGCATGTGTTTGTATATATATATATTTGTACATATATAAGCATATACATGTATGTGTATGCGCATGCATACATGTGTATATATACACACACATACATGTACACACTATACACACACAAGTACACACACATATATACATGCACATTAGCACACACATCTCTTATCCCTGTCCACTGGGAGGGCCTTGAAGCAATGACTCTCCAGCAGCATTGAGCACAACTAGTGTCTAAATCTTCATTTCTAAATGCCCTTAGAGAATAACCAAGGCTAAAAATAACCACAGATACTTGGAGAAATAGCTGGTTCCAGGACTGAAACAGGGAAATTACATTCTGTTTCCAGAAAGGAAGGAAGTGATCAGAGAATGAAGGGAACAAGGCAAAAGCACATAAGAGCCAGCTGGAAGAGGCTCCCACTGGCCAAGTCTGGGACAATGTGAGCAAAGTAATGACATGATGGCAAACACTTATAACCCATTGACTAAAGCAAGAATTCACGAGTCTACACAGTCATAAAGAAATAAACAGGTAAGACAGTAAAGCCCTTCCTTTCAGTAGAAACCCAACTAATAAGTTCAGAAGGAATGATAGTAAATAATCATGTGGCAACCATTATCATATTTAATAGTCTCAAAATATCTTTCAACAAGATGCTTATTAATTCCATAAATAAAAACAGTATCTTTATAGTTGAGAAACCTGACAGTCACCACCTTAACCAAGGGATCAAAGTTAAGACCAGTAATGGGAAAAACCATATCACGTGCCTCCTGAAATGTGTCCTGAGAAGAACGTATCGTTGCTTCTGTGGTTTTCCTGCCAAAAGTGTATAACCTGAATCTAACCACGAGGGAAGATCGGAAACACCCACAATTGAGGGAACACACTCTTCAGAAATATCGATGTATGACACACATAACCAGACTGAGGAGCTGCTCCAGTAACAGGGCTGATGTTGAACACACGATGTGGGACTGGGACTTTCTTTTGCTATAAGGACATTACTGGGACAACTGGTGCAATCTGAAAAAGGCCTGCAGATTAAATAATAGTATTTTACCAGCGTCGATTTCCTGATTTTGATCATTGTATTGTAGCTATATAACAGAAGGCCCTCGTTTTTAGAAAATACTCACTTAAGTGTTTAGGGGCAAAAGGCCTCATGTCTGTGCTGACTACTGATAGATTCAGAAAGCACACACACACATACATACATACATACAGATACAGAAAGAGAAGAATAAAGCAACATTCTAAAATGTTAACATTTGAGGAATCTCGGTGAAGGGTATATGGGAATTCTTTGTATTATTTTTGCAATTTTTATGTAAATCTGAAATTACGTCAAAATAGAAGGTTCACAAAAACTGTTAGCTTTATAGAAAATGTAATTTCCTTTAGATCGCAATAAGATCACACAGGACAGCTATTTTTTAGGACTCTTTTTGCCTCATGTCCAATGACCGATGGAGGATGGCTGGCCTCTCCTGGCTCAGCAGTGGTGTCTGGTCAGGAGTACTGTAGGTTTCTCTGGGCTTCTTTACAGGCTAGGTTAAAGGTCTTCAGTGACTGAGGCACCCCAGGTCCCATTGCCACACCAATCTGGATGTCTACCAGCAGTGCCATTTTTCTGCATTCGGTACTGAAGCTCCCTTGCTCCAGTTTTGACTTGTGAATCTACGAGGGGTCTCTCGTCCCCTGGCCTTGTCAGCTTGTCCAGTCCTTACCGACCCTTCTCCACTCTTCTTACGTGGCTGGATGGAATCCTGTACTATGCATAATTTCCACCTGCGTGAACTCATCACACTCAGGACAAAATAGCAGTGTCAGCTAACATTTACTGAGCATTTTTTATTGCAGACTCTGTATTTCACTGAACTCTCACATCACAGAAACTTCTTTGTCTTTCTACTGGGTAGAAGGCTTTGCTCATAAAACTTCTTTAGAAGTGCATCAGGTTATTAACATTGTGCCAGCAACAGTAAGGCAGGATGACAGGAACCATAATGCCCCATGCTTGCATTTGCAGGGTAGGTTACATTTTCTTAGGCTGTTTGGATCCCAACTCACAAAAGCCTTTCTTTAAACCCTAGAATTTATGACTATGGTACTTGAGTTCTTTGTTTTAAAGGAGGTATTACAAGATGTAACTTTTATATTATCACTGAATATTTTTTACCTTGTTCTGTGGTTGTTATTAAGGTAAGAGAATGGCCTAATCTTCAGTACGATGACTGCTGATCCTTAAAACTATGCTGGCTCATCAAAACAGTCCAAAATTTGCTGTATTTGTTACTAGAGCCTTTCCAGAGCTGTACTATATTATGCAATTCCTAGCCAAAATTTTCAGATTCATAAAAATAATTAAAAAATTATAATAATAATAATTTCCTAAAGTATAGGAAATTTGTTTTAGCATTAACTTCTAAGTTTCCTTTGGCATATTTTGCAAAGCTATTTTAGAGATATTTAATAAGAGGAGACCATCTATGCAGCCCTATGTCACTCTGCAAAGAACTATAAGAAACCTTGTATTCTTAGTCCAAATAAGCTCACATTTGAGGTGAGGGGCTAAAGAGGGTGAGGGGCTTACCCCTACCTGGCAGCAGCAGAACCCACTTCTCTCGATTCTAAAACAGTGCTTCTTCATCAAACCAAACTAAAGAGCTGATCATTAACAGAGAGCCATGCCATCATGAAAATGGCTAGAAAGCTTGATAAATTTCTCTTGCGTGGGATCTAGAATAAGCGTAGAGTCCCAGTCTAACAAAAACATTAAAATATTACATGGACTTCATGCACATAATTAAGCCCTGATGCAGTTTTCTGAGCTCTTCATAAATATGATGAATTCAGATCATGCAAAATGACAGTAACATGTGGCATAGTTAACAGTCACAGGATTCGGCCAAGCATTGACAACAGCAATAAACTTCAGCAGTTGCCTCAAGTAACTTTTCCACTCCTCTCCTTGCAGAGAGCTGTGACAGGAGTGTGTCTGCACCAGGTACACTGTCTGGATCTACTATACAACATCTACAAAGACGACAACTTCCAGTCGTTTTCAATTCAGTCTTTAAAAAGTTCTGCAATTCAAATTCACTATTAAGAAAAAAAAAATTAGAAACAAAAAACAGATAAGCAAAACTCCAGCTCACTGCATTTTAAAACCTCAGTGATATCCCTGATTTTCTAGAATCTTCATCCAATAGCGGAGCTCTCACTGCAAATGCAGGGACTGAGGATAGGAGTGAGTGTGGCCTCATAGAATAAAAACCATTTCCGCAGATAGTCAAGTATTGTTTTACTCATTTTTCTATATTATATGAGTTTTGTTCCTCTCTAAAAAGAACTTCTTGGTTCTACAAAAATGTCAGTCATCTTGCATATCAATTATACCTTTTCAAGAAAAAGTAAGTTTATAAAATATCAAAGATACAAAAGCTAGTAGGAAATGATCTCAATGCAGTAAATAAACCATACCAAAATCTCCCAGTCCCCAAATATTTTAAGTTTTACCAATTTTTAAAAATTTTATTCTATTTTTATTTTTTAAATTGTGGTAAATATACATGTAACAAATTGTATGAATTCCAACATTCTTCACATGTACAATTCAGTGACATTACTGTATAGTGTTGTTCAATCATTATCATTAGCTGTTCAGTACTTTGAAAACTACCCCCCCCATTAAAAAAAAGAAAGAAAATCATTTACTTACAAGTTTTTGTATTTCACATAGAATTCCTCCACTTCTACCTCCTCTCCAGATTCCTTCTGTAACAAAAGACAATTTCAGGGGCACACTTAAACCATCTACTAAAATATTTCAAAAGTAACTATTTAGTCCCAGGAATGACCAAAGCAGCACGGGAGCTCGTCTTACAGATGCACGTGTGGTGAAGTGGGTGGGAGGCAGCAAGGAGCCCGACACCCTGAGCCGTACACGCTACCCAGCGTACTACAACTTCGAAGACATGAATCATTTTAACTCCTCCCTAACCACATGCAGCTTCATTCACAACAACCTGACCCCAAATCTGGCTTTCTGCCAAACCCACAGTGTTAAGTAGACGCCAAGTGTACCATTTTCTCAGGCAGCAGCCAATTAGCAACTGCTCTCCTGAATGCCATGTGTATTATTTTTGGCTGCCTCATGGCAACTTTACATTGTGGGTTTTGTAATGTTTTAAAATATTTAAAAGACATTTATTCCTCCATATAGTTAATAACTCTAAACAAGAAACCATATAAAACTCAACCTCATTCTTATGCTGTAATTTCAGTGCATCACTATTCACAGCTTTAGCGCTCCTCAATGGTACAATTAAAATCTCTCAGACAAGATGTCTCGCACGCACAGCAGCCAAATGAAATTAACACTCCAAATACTACATTTAGGTAAGGGTAAAATTGTGATACATGTCAGCCAAATCAAGAGTTTTCAATGGGAAGATTATCTGTAGCATCTCCCTTGATCCTACCTACTGTAGTGTATTCAGAAGGTAATGCTCATACGATATTTTAGGTATCTCTTTCTATATATATATTTTTCCCTTTTGGCTTTAGGGTGTTAAACAAGTTGTAATATGTAATTTTCTTCTGGAACAGTTGAGCAGATAAATCAGGGATGTAAACCATAAACACCATTTACAGCTGTTTCAGGATTCCTTTTACACTCTTACAAGAGCACCCAAGCTTGCCTTCAGGGTCACATGTGGCTGCTGAGCTGCCTCAGAGATGCTTCGAAGAAAATAAAGGCAAGTAGGAACATGGCAGAGACCACACAAAAGAGCAAAGACTTCTATTGGATAACAAGCTGGCAGAGGATCTGTTCAAAGAGATTACTCTTTCCCTCTATCGCTAATCTTCAGATTATTGTCGAAGATCATGAACTTAAATTTTCTTTTTTGAAACTCTCACCTGTACCATTTAAACCCCAATTTTAAACAGTTTTCTCACCTGCCTAGAGACTACTAATAAGAAGATAGCGTATTGAGGAGTGTGGTCAACACACATTAACAGCTGGTTAATCTATAACGATCTATAAAAGACCGTTACTATAAAGCTGCCTTTTTAATCAGTGCATTCAGAACACCATCTATGACCCAGACTTGTAGTCTTGTCCAGAATGAAAAGAAATGTTTGTTGGATGCCTTCAAGACTCAATGACATAAACCTGGAATGAGTTTACAGATAAATTCTAGTCAATTCCAGTGACAACCTATCCAGGCCCCAGCTCACTTTCTTCTAAGTCCTAACATCTCCCTGTTCTTCTCACACATTTCAGCAGCTACTTCAAGATATACCATCTTTGTAGAGAACTAGAGACTCCAAGAACAAGGCAAAAGTAAGACTGTAGATGACTGGATGGGATTCAATCTTTTGATGCTTCCTATAGCATTTCAAGGAGTCCCTGGGTGGTGCAAATAGTTAAGGGCTCAGCTGCTAGCCAAAAGGTTGGCAGTTCAAACCCACCCAGAGGCACCTCAGAATGTAGGCCCGACGATCTGCTTCCAAAAGGTCACAGCCTTGGAAACCCTATGGAGCAGCTCTACTCTCCACAACATGGGGTCACTACGAGTCAGAATCAACTAGACGACAACTAAGAACAACAACATACCATTTCACAAAATTCAGACCTAGAATGGAACTCAAATGTTGATTCTACTGTTTTTACTCTTTTATTACTGACTATATTTCTTTCATTTCTGGAAGAATTTTTCAAAATCATGTATCTTTGAGGTAGTAAAAGGACCAGCTTTATTATTTCTATGTTCTGTCTTTTCCTCTGATTTCCTTATTCCTGATCTTTTCTCCTCTATTCCTTTTCATCTCACTCTAAATGGTCTCACCGTCCCATAATCTCCTAGCGGGCATCATGGCACACAGGATCAACTCTTTAACAGAAGAGAACGTTCTCGTTTTCATTTCACCACAATTACATTCCTAGTAAGCCCTGACTCCCCCACTCTCCCCGATACACATCTGCTTGTCACGATGAGCTGTTCCTCTAGGAACCTGCTGCAGAGATGTCCAACCGAGAGCCTAGAGCCGTCTGGGAGGAGCCAGCTGGGTTCCAAGACCTAACTGAGCAGCACCTGGAGCCAGCACAGAATTGGCCCAGGGCCTATGTCTTTTGAGCGTCCTGAAAAATCACACTGCATTTTGTCAAACTGACCACACAGACTCCATCACCGCCTTCTTGCCCCTGGAATTATAAATAGAGCTATCTTTCATCCTTCATCTTATATAAATATGATCGTGCGTATCTATTCTGTCAATTAACGAAAGTGTGTGAACTTATAACCCCTCAGGAGTACCATGAATTCACTAAATGGTAGTTTGACTAGCCTCTGGTGATAGCCAAAAACAGCCCCTACACCCCTGTAAAATTTCCAGAGGCCATTCTATAATAGGCATAGCCAATGAACAAATGAGTCAAAGCACTATTTTCACACAAGAAACATTCAAATTTATTTCCTGGACCAAAACCAAACCAAACATGTTGCTGTCAAGTCGATTCCAACTCATAGCAACCCTATAGGACGCAGTAGAACTGCCCCATAGGGTTTCCAAGGACAGAGCCCTCTAAAGTAATTTTATGTACTCAGTAGAATATTTCTGAGAAATATCTTTTCATTAAACTCCGGATACAGTCTTTGGAAACCCTTATTGCTCATATGAAATATAAAACTCCAAACACAGTAAGCCATATTTGTCCCACTGTTCACACAGACCAGAATCCCTGATCAGGCCAAAAAATTGACTCCTTTTGTCACTTGGAATCTAAAACAGTCACTTAGCAAATGATAATTCTTGTGTACTCTACCAGAGACACCAAATCACACTGCACTCAAGGAGAAAATATGGACATGATAATAAATGAGGCTAAGAGTTTTACCTCTCTATTTTTTATTACTGGCTTCAGCTAAGGAGGATTAAAACACACACCTAAAATTTAAAATAAGCTCTTAAAAAGAAAATATATCATGTAGTTAACATAAAGAAAAATAAAAACTTGGGGACAGTAAAGTCAGAAATCACTTTTAAAACTATTTTTTGACCTTCTGATACAAAAAGGGAGCCCTGGGGCACAGTGGTTAAGAGCTTGGCTGCTAACCAAAAGATCAGCAGTTTGAATCCACCAGCTTCTCCTTGGAAACCCTACAGGGCAGTTCTACTCTGTCCTATAAGGTTACTGTAAGTCAGAATCGACTCGGCGGCAATGGGTTTTTGATACAAAAAGATTTGAATCGTTGTTCCACAAAGATGGATGGCTCAAAGTAGAAAAGGTTACAGATGACTCAACATGGAAAACACAAAAGAATTAACCTTTATGTAATCTGAAAGTCCATTCTTATGTCTACCTCAAAATTTAAGTGTAAGTATCAATTGTGTCACTTCAGGAGCTCTGGTGGTGCAGTGGTTAAAGCTCGGTTTCTATCCAAAAGGTCGGCAGTTCAAATCCAACAGCCTCTCCTTGGAAACCCTATGGGGCAGTTCTACTCTGTCCTATAAGGTCGCTATAAGTCAGAATTGACTCAGTAGTAACAGGTTTGGCTTTTTTTGGTTATGTCCCTTCCACTGGGTCTCATGCACATTAATTTGTTTTCAGAGCAACATAAATGCCCAAATTATCCTACTCAACACGAGGTACTGAATTAGGAAGCAGTGTCAGCTGAGTTCTGGGTTTCCACAACTACATCATCTCGGACCTTCCTTCTCAGGCTGCAGCAATGAGTCAACTAAATTTGAAAAACATTTTGTCCCCAGTATGTGTCAGTACTGCACAGGGCAGGCTCTGAGAACTACAGCCAGTCGCTACAGTGCTGCCAGGGGAGATAAAGACACCTTCTCAGAGCCAATTCTTAAATTATTCATGGTAATAGGAAACAGACCAGCCGGCATAACTAGGATCCAACGAAAGTCTCAAATTTCCTGTTTCTCTATCTGTGACACTTTCCACCAATGTTATTAAAGTTGATAAGTAACTACACTGAGAACATCAGCAGTTTAAGTACCTTCTAAAGTTTTTTTTTTTTTTTTTTAAATTACCCTTTAAGAAATACCAGTAATCTACAAGCAATTCAATGGGCTCCACCTCTCTTCCTTACGTTAAATCATACCTCAAGGCCTATCTCCACTTTCAGAGGAATTTTTCCATTAATTTTCTCCCTCCTTAAATTCACTAACTCAACAAATACTCCACCCTCATGTACAGTCTCATTGGTTTCTAATATCCTGTGAGAAGATAAACCTAGTCGTACGTAAATAGTAGTAATTATCTATTCCTAAATTTGGGGCACCGATCTTTAAAGGGCAGTTTAAAAAAAAAAAAAAAATAAGTGGGCAAAACAGAAAAAGCAATGTCCTACATAATGCAAAGTCTAAGCAATTATTCTCTGAATAATAGAGCTAATTATAATACGCAACCCCCAAACCTGCTGAGTATGCCTACAGAAGCACTATCAATAGAATGAAAATTAATATAGCCCTTTCAAACCACATGCTGTTTACTCAAACAAGTCACTTCAATTCAATGAAGAGGATTATACTTTAAAATGTGTTAAGTATTTAAATTTTACCATATATCTACAATTCACAAATTAACCATTTTAAAGTCTTTAGCAGCACAGAAATGCAATCTTTCTAATGAGTTAAACAGTGGTCATTTCTGCTTGAACAGGTAGGAAATTTGGCTGAGACTCTATCCTTTAATTCATCAGAAAGGAAATCCTCACTTTCAAAGAGTCACCAGATAGCCACTCCATACTTCCCCACCCCCCATACTCAATTGGAAAATATCTTGATAGGTTGTTCTTGATTATTTTCATACGAACTATAGTTGTATATTCTGATAAAAATCCATACTGTGCATCACACACTAGAAAAGCAAACAGGATTGCAACAAAGGTAAAGAGAAGTTTACTGCTGGTTCAGGAGCCCTGATGGCGCAGTGGTTAAGGTTTGGCTGCTAACCGAAAGGTTGGCAGTTTGAATCCCCCCCGCCTCTACTTGGAAACCCTATGAGGCAGTTCTGAATTGACTCAATGGCAATGGGTTTGGTTTGGGTTTTAGATAGCAGTATTTGAATAGCAAAGGTTTCCTATGTGATAAGCCTGTGATTTCATTTAGGTATCTCATTGGGAAGTTACAATGCTATAAATTTTACTAATAAAAGAAGCTTCTTTTACATGTCAAAAGGATGAAGTCATACTTTTCCACTTTAAAAGCAAATAAAAACAAAGAAAATTGTGGATTTGACAATGACTCAAGAGGAACTACACATATCTGAAGGCAACCATTTTCTAGAGAGACTGCTGAAACATGTGAATGCAGCCAGGACATCTATGAGACTCCACACTAAGTGAAACATTTTCTCAAACTGGGATCAAAGGGGAAAATCTTCACTGGTAAAAGAAAATTCAATGTTATTGGAATTCTTTATTCAAGAGTAAGAGTCTCTCAACGCCAAGGTTATCAGGCTAATGACAGATGCTTAGAGTTCACTTTTCCAGATCAACATGAAGCTTGAGTAATTTCGAAGAATATGCCATTATCTTGAAAAATTACAGTGAAAATAGCCCTCTGCACTGGCAATAAAGGTATTAATGAATATTTCAACTGTATATAAAAATATTACAAAAAGTATGAGAAAACACCTATTTGCTAAAACAATAAACATAACTTGCATCCCACCACAGGGGAGGAAGAGCCTTCCTCAGAGACATGAGAAGTTAATCATGTTTATGATTTTATGAGCAGCATTTATGAATAAAGGCAGCTTATAACTCTAAAAGTCCTACACATTTCTTCGGATATCTTTGGGTTTCTGGTCTGCTCTAAATGGTGTAATTAAGCATTGGTTGTTTGATATATTTTAACTTTATTTGGGGCTGCACATCCCAAAGCGTTACACTGGGCTAATAAATCTGACAAGATTAGATGTAAATTTTACTTTGCAATATAGCATAATTTTAAAAGAAAATTATAAAACAAAAAATAAGTTAAGAGCCTTACCTGTTTTTTAACTGAACGACTACTCATGATTTTTTCTACCACTGGACCTTCTGCATCAACAGATTCCTGAAAAATAGAGTAGAATGAATCAATCCAAATGGAAAACATGTCATTCTAAGCTACAAAAGCAAGAGATCATTCCATCTTGCCTCTACCTCCATACCCTTTAAATCAACAAGTACAAAGTCACTGGTGGGAAATATGACTGAAGAGAACAAAAATCTCACTCTTAGAAAGGCAAAAGGAAGCCCTATGTTTATGACTCCATGATAATGTGGTTTAATAATATGGACAAGCATGGGTCCTTAAAGCCAGAGAGTATCCAGAAACTCTAGCTGCCAAGAAAAAGTAAGCTCTGCATGACAGCAGTCAAAAATATAACTTTTCTTCCTCTATACCCATGGGGTAAATATACTCATCATTCTGTTATTATAGGCAGCTTTTATCTATGGAGGTCACATAAAACGCTATGTAACAACTTAATGTAGCACAAATTACCAAATAAAATACAAAACTGCATTTAATAATACTTTCCAGTGAGTTACCAGTTTGTTAACTATAGTACAGTAATGGTAAGAAAAGAGCATTATTTAATAAAAAAAAAAACAAAAAACAGAGAGAACTCTTTACCATAATCAATCGTACGTTACTACCCACATTTATACAAACTATTTTATCCATCATTTACATTGCACAGAGACTAAAGTATGCCCTGCTGGGTACTACAAGGCAGTAATTTCGTAAAGGGGTTCTTACGGTGCCTAACAGCAGGAGACAAGTTTGAGTGGTTTATTAAAGTCCCAGAAGCTACAGCACTGAATTCTCAGAGGTAAATCCAGCTGCCTTGTATCCCAGCTCCGACTTTCCTCAGCATAGACCATAAATTCTCCAAAATCGTGTCAAATTACATATCACAGGTGTGCATAAACATAAATTTCAGTGAGCAGGGCTTTTTACAGGATACTGCTAAACAACTAATTTCTCCCACAGCACGTAAGCCAACATTAGATAAAGTTTCCCCAGTTAAAAGTCCAGTGTTTCTGCCTAACCTCTCGGACTCCAGCTCACCTTTTAAAATGCACACACGAATCACCCGCACCTGACCGCTCACCTGCTGCTCTGACTGAGAGGTGTTTGAAGGGGAGTCTCTTCCAGCAGCATCTGCATCATCTGCCTCCTCGTCCGAAATCTTGAACTCCAAGTCTTCAGTGTATCGCTTCCTCTTTACCTGCCTGCTGGAACGTCTCTTCTAAAACGAAACCCCAACAGCGTGGATGTTAAACAGCAGTCCGTGACAGTTAGTTCTCACAATGGTAAATGGTATCTTTAAAAAACTAATCTTAAAGAGAAGCTTATAACTTTAATCCTGTAAGTCACGTTAAAAGATCATAGTGGCAACAAATATAATGGAAATGGGCAGAGATACGGAATTAAAAGCTGGGTCACAGCCCTGGCTCTGCCACTTCCAGCTACTGGAACATCACCTGAAAAATATAATGCAAAGAACAGCAATCTTATTCCTCATTCAGTCACTGTGACGATCAAACATGAAGGCAATAACGAAGCAGGGTGACGGGTACATAGGGACTTATTTTACTATCTTCCCTGCTTTTGTATGTTTTTATATATTTCCCATAATAAAAACTACAAAAAGGGAATGTATTAGAAGATGATCTGTAATTTATAAAGTTCTACACAAATACTGTTAATAATACCATACAAGGTACCCACAATATTTCAAAACCAAAACCAAACCCACTGCCAATGAATTGATGCCGACTCACAGTGACCCTACAGGACAGAGCAGAACTGCCCCATAGGGCTTCCAAGGCTGTAAATCTTTGCACAAGCAGACTGCTGTATCTCCTGCACTCATAATATCTGCAGAAGGACATTTAAACTTGGTCCTAACAAAAACGTTCTTAACTTTTTTTGAAGGGCTGAAGATTTGAATGGCAGAACGAATGAATGAATCTGGAAAGTAATTTACTTTTTATACCACACTAGTTAAAATGTAAAAGATTGATGAGAGCCAATGTTGGCCCAACAGGACTCTCACACTCCTATGGTCAAAATATAAACAGGTACAGTGTTTGCAGGACAGCGGGGTAGCATCTAACAAGATTTAAAACACGCCAACCCTTTGACCTAGCAATTGCACTTCTCGTAAACTATGCTATGGAAATACTCTCACACTACATACCCCGGAAATATCTCTAAGGTAAATTGTTAAGTAAAAAAGAAAAACGCATAACAAGAAGCAGCTTATGATTCTATTTAAGATAAATAAAAAACCCTGTGTATCTACTTGTATGTGTGCGTCATCAATATATAAACTCCTTAAGATCAAGACACTGCACTTCTTGTTCATTTCTCTATGCCCAAGAATATTTGAAAAAAAAAAAGAATGTATATTACTATGTTTTCAATAACAAGAACAAGAATCAGAAAAACAGAAAAAGAAAAAGAAAAAAAAAAAAAAAAAAGCTAATAGCTGTTAATTCCAGGCTGAGAAGTGAATGAAGCAGAGGGTAGAGTTTTGTACTTTTTGTTCAAGATAATTTATATTGTTTGAACTTTTGGACAAAGAATTAGTTTTGTAAGTTAATTAAAAATAGGAGAAAATAACCTTTTCATTAATATATGTACATAATAAAATATAATTTGAAAATGATATTTGTATGTTTTAAACTGTTGGTAGATTCAAGAAGATTACAATCTATAGAACAAGTTCGAAAAGCACATAGAAGAAATGAAAAAAAATTGAGGAAAATTAACACTTACACAAACACCCTTCTAAGATTTATGAAGCAAAACTTTTTAAAGAGTTTCATGAACTTAGTGGGCACAAACACTTTGCACTTTCCAGGTGGGACACTGAGGCAGAGAAAGGCAGAACTGCCAGTATGCGCACCAAAGGAGTGACAGATACGGTAATTTCAGCTCTCAAACCACGACTACAATCCCAGTACATTTTCCCAAAGAGTGGAACTGACTAATTTTTATTTATTAAGTCTGTGTCCTCCCTACTTTCAAGCAGGGATTGGAGACAACTCACAATACAAGCCAACTCTAATAAGTCCATCAAGTGGACTGCCCAACACTGTCAGCTCCTAACCCTACACAGCCACGGGGCAGCTTAGCCACAGAGCACCTTTCTGACTCGAAACATTGGGTAACGTTTTAGTCACAAACTTCCTGTGGCTTAGCAAAAGGGAGTGGCCACGTGGGCCAGGGTTCCTCTTCTGACCCTCCTCTCTACTACAAAGCTTCAGTGCTGCCCAGAACAAGCAATCCCATGGAGAGGCAGCGCAGAAGCCCTCTGGGACCCTTTTCCACATCACTGAAGGCAGCTTAATCTCGTGACCCTGGAGCTGAGTGCCCAGGTTTGACAAGTTATTTTGTGGACCTCAGTTTCCTGGTCTGTAGAATGGGGTTAATGATAGTAATGACTGTAAGATATTGTGAAACTCACTTGAGGGAATTCATTTAAAGCATTTAGAACAGGACATGGTGCATATTAAAGGCAAATGTGATTAGTAGAACCAACATCACCGTTAACCAGATACTCCCTCTCCAAAGAAGAAAAAGAAAGCAACAAGGCAACAAGGCCCGGCCATGGCTTCCATGCTCCCCTTCCACTAATTCTGCTCTTGGGCCCACTTTCTCACCACTCACTTAAATCTTTAAGACTTAAATACTATTATCAAGAACAACATTTTAATTTTGTGAAATATAGCAAACATCTGGATATTTTCATTTGGTATATCAATTTAACTAAATTGAAATGGACTGATTTATATTTTCACCCTTCTACCATTACTGGAAGGAGGAACGTGCTACCAGTCACGTACCTGTGATACGTCAACAGGTTTCCACACCTGGAGCCACACACACTGTCATAGTATTCTATCAGTAGATGTACCTAACTACCCTTGGATGGGGTCTAAGACAAATCCACTTTACACTAAATCCTACTCTGATACTAAAGAAATGTTCCATTATAATAAGACAGGGAGCTTTTCTTTCTTTAAAAAAGAAAGAAAGAAAAGAAATTATGTATTGGTGGATATAACTTCAATGAGGTAAGTTCTTCCTCACATCAACTTTGTGAAATAACTGTGTTATCGTCTCTATTCATCTATGCAATAGTGATGAAGTTGTTGGGTGCCGTCAAGTCGATTCCAACTCACAGTGACCCCTACAGGACAGAGGAGAACTGCCCCATAGGGTTTCCTAGGCATGGGGTTAGGAAGCAACATACACAAGGTCATGTAATAAGCGTAAAAACAACCCAAAATACAATCGGAACTTCATTTCCTGAAATTTTTAAAAGTTATATGGTTTCTCCCTCTGCTACATAATAAATGATATTAAATTCATTTATTTTAGGTACCAAGGTTCCTTTTCTAATCTCCCAATAGGAGTTAGTTCTTTAAAAAATTAAATGATTTTATTACTTAATACGTTTCTATTGGGGTCTGTTAAGCTATTATTATCTGGAAGATTTTTGTAGATCAAAATGAAATGTAAGAGTCGTATTTACACCGTAACATAAAACCCCTGAATCAACACTAACAACTTCGGAGGATTTTATTTTTAACCTTGGACTGCATTAGAAAAGTTACTTGATTGTAGTTAAGAGAGGTATGAGCTCACTGTTGTGGTAATCTGTGACACAATTTTTGAGTTAGTTAAACATATATGGCATTTACTGAAGTATAAACAAATCAAACACAAAACTCAAGAATTTTACCTCTCAGCCCTTTAGGCATGTGTTACAGGAAGAAACATAATAAACAACCAGTTAGCATCACTTCCTGTATCACAGATACCGAGAGAACACTGCCTGCAACATCAGACCTACGTGTGTGGTGGCTTATATTCAATAGTGAGCCCGTGGCAGTTAAGCACTAGCCAATTAGAAAGGATGCCCTGATGTTCATTTGAATTCATTCGCTTTTTTTCTTCAACTGAAATGCAAAAGAAAAAAAAAAAATCCAAAAAAACTAGTATTTCATTAAGTCCATCTGAATCTGCATTAATACAAATAAGACTTTTAAAAACAGAAGCGATATTTATGCAAAAGTAACGGGATTTTCTTGACTCGTATGAATAAATTTTCTTAATATTGTATAGATACTATTGTCATGAAAGTCCTAGTTTAAGCAAACACAGAAAGGGATAGAAAACCTTGAGTAAAAAAATGAAATTGAAAATTATTAAAATAGTTTACAACTCCCTAGGTAATCAAAAAAGTGAAATAAAACTACTTACCTTTCCAATATCATTTCACCAATGCGTAAAATAAAAGGAAATTACAAAACTGACCCAAACTGCCAGAGGTGTCACTATGTTAGTCATATAACCAAACCAGACCAAACCACTTGCTCATGTTCTCTCTACCTTTTTGGGTCCTCTTTGCTTGGGTCATTCACTGAAACTACAGTAACAGGGGGTTCTACCAAAGAAGTACCCAAAATATCTGAAATTCATTAGACTAGAGCTGCATACCACAAATACTTTGTCATTAACTTTTAACTGAACTGGTAAGGGTGTAGGTGGAAGGACTAGGTATGCACTGAATGGTAAGAACAAGTCAATCAAGATTCTAGAGGGTCGGCTTCTTAGTCCAATAGGATCCTAAGGAACCACTGAGGGATAACTCAGATGTCACTCACATAGGTTACATTACCAGCCATCCCAGTGGACCACACAGGCATGCTTCCAGGAAACGAACAAGGAAATAATTTTTAACTGTCACGTGAAAGGATCCCTCTCCGTCCAATCACGGAAAGCAGTGTGCTTTACACACAAGAACCTAAATTCCTAATGTTGATTTCATGCAGAGTTTTTCAACCGATTCCCATAAAATCTTCCCAAAGTCAAAGAGAATCTAATGCTGAAAAATTTTCCTGAGTTGCCATCCAGAAAAGTCACTGACTTGCTCATAGAAAGTCCAGTATCACATGAATAGAACTCAGCTCCGACCACCACGTCAGAAACCTTAAGACAAGCTACAGATTCTGCAAAACTAAAAAAAAAAAAAAAAATTGACAAGTCACAACATTGGAGAGAAAATTAAAAATGTGAATGAAGCTTTAAGCAAACTGATAGATTAATAACATATTAACCAAGACATGAATGGTAACAAATATAAACATCAAAATATATATTTACATAAATAAATGAAGATTCTCATTTTCATTATGGAGACAAAGACAGCAAAACCATGACATCCTGGTCAAGAGTTTAATTTCCCGTTGGCCCTGCCGCTCTCATCACTATGGATATAATGTTTCAAACAACAATAAAGACAGCTTAAAAGCATCTCTATAACAAAGACAGGAGAGGTCAACTGCTGTACTTTATACACATCTAAAGTTACCCACACAAAATAATCAAGGCTTGAGTATCAGAATAATGGTATTACCTGAACACCTGGGTCATCATCTTCTTCAGGAGGAGGAGATGGTGGGGGTGTTTTTTCTAAGTCTGAATTTTCAGAACCTTCTGTTTTTCCCTTGTTGACCTTTTTCTTCAAAGCACTTGCTTCTGAATCAGGTTTCTTATTACTAGAATTCAAAGTGGATCACTTAGCGTTCACTTTTTAACGTGGTTGTCCACATGCCCCATGCCTTATATTTCCCACCTTCATATCCCTGAAGAATCAATGACAATTTACAAATCTATGCACTTCGGCCATTTAAAGGTAAGTGGTACTCTCAAGCTTTTATTTCAAAACCCCATCTTGATGACCTTTAACAAATATCAGACCAAATTAAAAACAAACTGCATGCAAAAACCCCCAATACCACACACAGTACATGCGGTCATCTAGACAATGCAAAATCCTTGCCAACACACCAACCCGTAAGGAAAAATGAGATTAAGAAGGACTTTTGTTATCACATTTTTAAGGTGCAGAACACTTCCTTTAAAAATTGTCAAGGAAAATTAGAATATAATGATCTTCTCTTTGTGTCTCTTGTGGTTAGATTTACACACTTGTATTTAAGTCCTTTTCGGGACCAGTACTGTGAGGTGTCCTCTTTAACACCATCCAGCTAGAATTTTATCCAACTTAGAAGCTTTCGAAAGATATAGCAATGTCCTGTTCTTCAGAATTTTATTACTTAATGGAGCTTTCTTAATTAAAAATAAGCCTTATCTTTGGGTGCTAGGCACTTCTGGCATAGTCATAATTAGCCTTATTTTCAAAAGCTAGGTTACTGAAATACAAAAATAGAGCAAAACAACCCCAATAATCAAAGCACATGTCCCATCGTATGTTTCTGTCACACGTTAATAGGATCTGTACGTTACATAAGTCAAAAGACCCAAGTGAACTTAGACAAAAAAAATTTTTCAGTTTACCTGCACCATTAGAGCCTCTACCTGACATTCTCTTAGAATGCACAAGCAGTGCTACCACCTCTATTTCTATAAACAAGCCCCAAGATTTTCTAAGATCAATTATCATTTGTTATCCAACAATTAAAATAATCTAACCTTAGTGACAATAATTTTTCACTCTTTCTAGACAGCCTAAAATCCCAGTGAATTCTGAAAACAAAAAATATTATTTCAAAAACCTTTAAAAAGTTTACCTATTAAAGTCTGCAGATTCCCAGAACACAGAACAGTGTGCTGACAGCATGCATTAAGTAACATTTTTTCAATATCAGGTACAGTAAAAGGAAAAGAGGCCAGGGCATGTGGGAACTTTTTTTTTTTTTTTAAGTAAAGCATGTATCATAAAATAGTTCAAAAGAATTTTTAATATAATGAAGTATCCATCACACACCTAAAATCTATTTTTTTCAACCAACAGCTTATAGTCTTAAACTAGTTGTTTTTAAAAGAATACACAGAGCTTGTTTTTACTTTGTCTTCTCAACATTTTAGCATAGTAAATAGCCACGTAAGGAAATAAAACAATTCAAGATCACAGCAAACACAGTTAGGTTTAAAGAGTTCTTTTTACTTAGTGGAGTGAGGCGGGAGAGAGGCAGTGTTCTAAAACTTTAAGTCCCCAAAAGATCCATAGAAAGCATCATATTTTTTAAATTAAAAAAAAAAAATCCATACAATTCCTCATCCAACTGTCCTAGTGTTTATGCTACACATGGACAGAAGTCTCCCCTACTATGAGGCTCCATTTCCAGCATTTATTTCCGCTCTAACTGCCACAAATTATACAATACTACAGCTGAACACTGGGCCCCTTTCCTTTCATCTGCACGCCAAGAGCAATCAGATTACCCTGGTAACCAGCGGTCACGTGACCAGCACCTGCTCTTTTGGCTGGATGCCACTGACTAAAGCCATCTGCTTCCCTCAATCAGCTTTCAAACATTCTCAACACCTGCGCTGCAGTGTTTTGTGGTTTCTTTTATCAAATCAGTGCAAAACTGCTTCCAAAACTTTACATATTTTTCAAATTTGTTTAAATCAGAGGTAGGCCTGTCAAAGAGTTGAACCGCTGCCAGGTAAAGTGAGTTGGCACCTCATGCTTTTCCCAGTGACCGCTCCACAACCAAGCAAAGCACACTTTAATTTCGTGGTGGTTACTGTGACCTGGTGCTCCCTCCTAGATGAGCGAAAGGCTCACTGTCCTGAAGAGGGCAGAGCCCGGGTTTGATGGAATATCAGTTTGCTGAAGGAGAGAAGTGCTAATGATTTTCCATTTGTCCTTCCTAAGAGCGAACTACGCGGAAACTCCAAGATGGCGAAAGTCGGGCAGCACATCTCCAAATGCGTAGACAAAAAGCACGTAAGCCAACAGAAGTTCTTACACCAGGTCTAATCACTGAAAGGTTTCTAAACTCGTTAGACCTTGCACTGTTAATGGGGTTCAGAGATGGCTAAGCATTTCCACGCTAACATCTTCTCATGACATCAACAGACAAACCCAAAAATATCCTAACGAGACAGGGGGAGCTACAAATCTTCAACATCCACCCAAAAACATAACAACCGTGGGCAAAATAAAGTTACATAAATCAAACTGTCTTTGTTACTACTTTGCAGTAAGCTAAGAGTTGTATTAAGAGCTTTGCCCAAAAAACTCAAGTCAAAATTTTTCTTTTATCAAAAGAAGGTGAGATGGCATGGTAGTGAAGGGCACTGCTCTGAGTCAGACGGACCTTAGTTCAAGCTCCAACTCTGTTGTTTACAACCCGTGATCCTGGACAAGTTCTTTAATTTTCCTGAGCCTGAGCCTTAGTCTCTTCATCTGTAATATGAGGTTAATAATTATACCTTTCTCCAAGATTCATTATGAGGTTTAAAAGAGATAATGCATGAAAACTTTACCAGGGTCTGGTAAAAACGCCTAACACTCAAACACATCTGAGAAGACAAATGGTCGAAGTCAGGTAACATATTCTCTGGCTGTACATTCAGCCCTACTTGGGCCAAATCAACTGCAGAGGTTTATAGACAGGACCCCACTCCACTGAAGCAAAATGAATAGAAAGAAAATCTTTCATCAACATTCCCACCACCAGCCAGAAGAACAAACGAGCAAACAAACCCCAGCCATGCCCTTCGCATCCCCTCTGCCGTTGCTCTAGTTCAGACACGTATGACTTCCCACCTAGACTATTCTGATAGCCTCATCTCCTCACCTCCACATTCAGGGTGCTCAACGTCAGACTGGTGAGGAAAGGACACAGATTCCACCTTCACAGACATTATTTAAATCTGCAAGGGTCAAAACTGGTGTTTTATGTCAAAGCCAAAACACAGCTGACCACACAGCCCTCACCCAAATTACAACAAAAGCTTGAATGCACAAGGAGGGCTGGGGAGACGAGAATGTGATCAATAAAAAACGTGACATAAACCAACACCACAGCTCCGGGGTGAGGCCTCTGAGCTGTCGGCACAGATCCGAAGCCCCAGTGCACCTCCGGCAGCTGTGTGATGGCTGCCCACTGGGCCAGCCAACACTGCCCCCCACGGCAACCCAAAAGGCAGCCTGCAAGCCAGTGAGAACCACAAGAAAAACGAGGCCTGTGCAGGGAATTTTTCTACTTCCAGCCCCAAATGGCACTAGCCCCGAAGAAATTGTACCCTCTCACATCTTCTGCATTCCCTAGCTCGGTGTCATGGCACCACTACCAAAACATCGCCTGCAAATCCATCCTCCACACTGTCACCAGGGGACCCCACCAAAGTGCAGATCTGACTGAATCATTCTCCTGCTGAAAGTTAACCCCCTATGTATTATTGTCCGAGAGACCCAGTACTGGCATACAAGGCTCCCTGCGATTTTGCAGCTGGCAACATTAGCTTTATTTTTCTACTCTTTGCACACCCCCTAAAGCCTTTATACTTTATGCTCTAGACATGAAGAGCCACTCTGTAAACACCTCTCTCTCCTACCTCTGCTCCCCCCACCCTACTCATCTTCAGGACTCAGTGCGGACACCTTCCATCCCGGAAGCATTCTCTGGCCTCACAGTCTGGACCAGTTATCTCCTAGGCACTCCGTCTAAATGCTACATGATTCCCCCACACGGGTATATCTAAAATACACAAAACACTGTGGCGACTTTACTGCAATGTATTAAAATCAAAGCTGTATGTGTGTGTGTGTGTTTCTCCAACTACACTGTAAGCTCAAGAAGAGTAGGATCTGTGTCTTACTCCCCCCGCCCCATACTCCTAATGCCTCAGGTAGGTACTCATAAACGTTCACTGATCTATTTAACAGTATGAATAACAGCAATAACAACAACACACACACATACAGCCCTTACTGTGTGCCAGGTACCACTCCAAATGCTCTTCTTATTAACTCACTTAAGAACATCCCATCTAGGTCTTTAAGGCTTGTGAGCAGCCATCTAAGATACTCCACTGGTCTCATCCTGTCTGCAGCAAGAGAGAATGAAGAAAACCAAAGACACAAAGGAAAGACTAGTCCAAAGGACTAATGGACCACAACTACCACAGCCTCCACCAGACTGAGTCCAACACAACTAGATGGTGCCCGGCTACCACCAGTGACTGCTGTAACAGGGATCACAATAGAGGGTCCCAAACAGAACTGGAGAAAAATGTAGACCAAAATTCTAACTTACCATAAAAAAGACCAGACTTACTGACCTGACAGAGACTGGAGAAACCCCAAGAGTATGGCCCCCAGACACCCTTTTAGCTCTGTACTGAAGTCCCTCCTGAGGTTCACCCTTCAGCCAAAGATTAGACAGACCCATAACACAAAACGAGACTAACTGGGCACACCAGCCCAGGGGCAAGGACTAGAAGGCAGGCAGGGACAGGAAAGCTGGTAATAAGGAACCCAAGGTTGAGCAGGGGAGAGTGTTGACATGTCATGAGGTTGGTAACCAATGTCACAAAATAATACATGTACTAACTGTTTAATGAGAAGCTAGTCTGTTCTGTAAACCTTCATCTAAAGTACAATAATTTAAAAAATGCCATTGTATGACTTTATTAAAAAATAAAACTATTCCTTTGTATAATAATAATAAAAAAAAGAACACCCCACATAGAGTCTATCTTCATGATGAAATGCTTATGTGGCTCAGCTAAAATTAGG